TCGCTGATTGAGTGACCAAATTGTTACTAATATATTTATTTAATTTTTTTGAAGGGGTTATTACTCCCAGAAAAGCGATCCGCCAATCGACTAACAACCAGGTTCCTACTTACTGCTAGGTGAACAGAGACGTGTGGAGTAAGGAAACTTGCCCATCATTTTGCCCTGTCCGGGAATCAAACCCAGGTCCTCTCACTTGCAAGGCGAGTGCTCTAACCACAAGGCTACAGGACTCCATAATAGCTGCGAGCAGGAAACTCATGGAAATGGCAATCTCTTTCCAATTTTATTTTCAGGAAACATTTGTCAAAGCAATATTTCAAACCAGTTTCCTCCATGTAGAAAACAAACTGATGGTTTAGGCTTCATTTATCATTTTGGTCTCATGAGTATTTTGCCTGGAAATATTTTGTAACATGAATCTTGGAGGATTTCCTTCCCGTTGCAGGCTAACAATATAAATAGTCCTGATTGCGAAATAGTGACTCTGAGAAGATAAGCATGCTCAGTTTAGATTAACAGCAGTACCCATGTTAACTGGAGAGGATTTCCTGCAATACTGATGACAAATGGGGTCTATTTTGCAAATTGTGGAAAGCATGTGCAGATGCAAGTGTACAGAGGCAATTATAGGTGACATTGGTTATTTAATTGAAAATCAATGAAACATTTAAACATAGTTTACTCAACTGGTAAAATGGCCCCAAGCATTTACATATGGTTTACACAACTCACATAATAGACTCCAATGATATTCCTACCCAAAATAACAATTCTATGAATGGAATTTGAATCTTTTTTCCTTTTACTATTTTATTGACATTATAAAACAATCTTGCTTGTCTCATATATGGGATACGATAAGGATGAATATGTGATCTCCACTCCTGTGTCCTTCAGTCACACTTTCAAGTTTCTGCTCACATATTGGCAGCAGGATCCAAAACTGAAGGGAGTGAGTGGCTGCACAATCTATTGAGAGTTAAACAGAACTATTCACCCCTTCCTAGTAACAGTGACAGGCAGGAATAAACCATCCAGAATACTCCATCTATTTTCCCACAAGATTTGTTCTATATACCAATCTCTAAATGTAAGAAGTCATGAATCCTATGAATTGACAGGAATTTGCCTAGTTCCCTTTTGAAACACTTTACAGTCTTTATTTGCCCATTTATTCCATATGGAAGAATTAACTGATCTATATTTGTCTGCCACTGTTACTAGGAAGGGCACTGTTACTACCAAACCATTTACTATTTAACTTGGTAGGTTGAGTGGTCATCAACTCCCTTCTGATTTTACCCTGTTGCCAAAAGTTAAAAAGACTCCTCCATTGTGTCTGTAGTAAAGAAATATAAACACTCACAGACACAGACAGTTTACAATATATTTGTTAATTCACAGCCATGTGGGGCAGGTGATCTGCAAAGCGGTTTGGCTGATTTTTAACCAGTTGCAAATTGAAATGCTTTCTGGGGCAATATCTTCTTCAGGGTATCTTATATAGCCATCTAGTAGAGGTCCATGTGTCACCTATAAAACTACTGCAAAGTCGGAGATATTTGAGGGTCCTCCTTTACCTTGCAATGATTTGTTGAAGTCCACTGCAGGTAATGCTGCTAAATACATTACAAATGTATATTATATAGCACCTTTTATGTTGGCAAGATGTCCCACAGCACTTGACACTAACACTAAGAACCTGAGCTGGAGGTGAGAACTACGGAGTGTGGGGAGGGGGAAAAGATGACTGAAAGCGCAGTCAGTGAGATATACATCTTGAGACAGACCTTAAGTGATGTGAGGGAGAAAGCGAGTCAGAACAACTCTGGGATGGAGTTCCAGAAATACACTAATACATTTGTTGTAACATTTTCATACTCCATTTCAGCCCTTTTGCTTCTATCTACGCCTTCAGAGTGTTCATACAGACATGACATACAGACATGAAAATGGAGACTGACTAATCAAATAAATAATGCAAAAACAAGAGAGGAATGGAAAAGATGCATTGTAACAAGAAAATCAAATCTAGGTCTAAGAGATGTGTGAAAGAGAAACAAATAATGGTTTGAATAAAACTATTAGAAAGGTCAGCTACAAGTAATTCCTTTAGTCTTTCACATAATTCTTGAGTGTTATGAGGTGCAATAGTGGTTTGCAGCCCCTATTTACAGGCTCTAGGCAAGACTTGATGCCTTCATCAGCAGGTGGAAGATGTGGCCCAGCATTGCAGAATGTACGTCTGCCACAATAAAGTATTCAACAACGCCTCAGTTCATCAGAACACATTTTGAAACGGAAACTTGCCAAAGGGCTTCACTGCCACGAAGACATGATTAGTCATGCTCTTCACAGGTTCTCATACACACGGAGCAAAACAGCTTACCTTCGACATGATAACATAATTTTCCACCGTAGCTTCATTGGCATTGATCAAATCTCCACTATAAAAAAACACTATTTTAAAGTATCCTAAAATATTACAGCCTAAAAAACAAAATATTGGAAACATTAAGGCTATGTGACTTTTAGCAGTGTTTCAGAAAAATTTGCCTAACCATTTAGGAATAATCTTTAAACAACATTTCCTGAGATTTTTCTTTGCCTGTATTCACTGGTCTGATGCTGTAACCACTGGGATCATACATATCCATTCTGTCCAACTGAGAATTTATCCTGAGTCTGCCTCATTATGTCTGACCAGCCATAGGAAACAGGCAGCCCAGCGCTGAAAATAAGACATGCTGGCACTCCTGATGGCACCTCTGGTTTTGTGTTACTTTTGCACATGTTGAAACTATAATTATTTAAAGAATTCTCTCCTGCTATTTTCTGCTGCGAGCTTTACCATGCACTGCACGGAGCTGACAAGTATCACCAATGGGGATGACTATCACTGGTGTTGGTTTTAAAACAGAATGTACGTCACTCTTCAAAATAAACACTGGCCACATGTGCAACTAGGTTTTCAATACAATCTGATTGAATATCTGTTAATATTTGACCTACGTTAACTGTAGATCTGGGGAAAAGAAGCTTGTGACGTAATTTGGGACAATGGAGAGAACGCAGTTCATCACTTTAATAAAACAGTGGAAATCAGCACTGGAGAGCTAGTACAATTAAAGAGAGTCAACCGTTCAAAGATTATTAGCAAAGCCATATTTTCACATGGTAAATGTCACAGGTATTATTGTAAAAAAGTGTAGAGCATGAGATACTATAGCTAAACTCTCCAAATCTGGCAAAAGGTCATTCACATAGAGTGTGAAAGCATCTTCATTCACTGTTCGGTAATTTAATGTCCCAAATTCACTGGTACAGTTTTATCTTACTTGAGATCAATTTCTTGTTATTTGGTAGAAAACATTATCTGCTTTCTCAAGATTATATTTTATTATTCGTCTCCATTTAGAAATGGCTGTTGATGGTTGCATATTTCCTTACTGTACATGGCTGGGAAGATGATACAATCATATAGCACTTTCAGACATTATTCATTTTATCAAAAACATTTAAAAAAATTCCAAGTTCTCCTGTTCATGTTTGCTCAATGGAGCTCAACTACAATGGGTTCAGAGTGTCTCATTTTCACTTCACCCCATGTTTTCAATGGTGATCTAGTCAGTCTGGCAATGTAATTCAGACTGAGATGTGAAGCCTTTCCATTGCTCTTACATACCAAAATCAAAACATTCAAAACTAGGGGCAATTTGGGACCAAATTCGATTTTGCTTTTTTACCATACGAGCACCAGCCTGACACACTTCTCTCCAGAGAAAAGTATCCTAAAACTAATGTTCAGTGTTACAAAGTATCAATTTTTGGTGCCAAATACATAAAAATTAGTTAATTGGTTGATTACTGCTGTGTAACAAGACTATTAGTTTGTTGGGAATGCAGTACCTTAAATTGGACCAGTAAGAAATCCGAGGCCTGACATTTCCCTTGGCTTAGCCTTAACCGATTGTAACATTGTGTAGTATTTTGAAATTTTTTTCATTTAATTTCAATTTGGAAGCTAGTCTCCAGCAGTTCTTTTTAAGACTAAGACCATGAAGAATGTCAACCTCTGGAGGGGATTTCCTTTCCAGGTTAGAGCCACGGAACAGAATGTTTAAAAAGACATTACAATATCAATTATAATTTACACAGGTCCATGTCGATATGGCTATTGCTCACATGTAAAGTTTTGCAGTTAGTGTTGGTAGGCTATTCCATTGTAGGTACATTGGCAAACCGGCATTGCCTGTTGCCTTTACCTACAAGACCAATGTCATTTTGATAGCAGTTTTTAAACTGCCACGAGATAACTCCAAAATTCCTTGCAAATATTAGAGCTCCCTAGTGTCAAAAGTAATCAGACTTAACATTTGGTCTGCAAAGAGACCACCCACTAGTTCAGGTTAATCCTCTCAATAGCTGAAAATTCTCAGGAACATCAAGCCATGCAAGTTACACATTAGGGTGTTTTTTTTAGGAAAAAATTATCTGTTGAAAATAACCACCTTTAAACAGACAATTATTTACTATTAAGCAAAAGAGCTTCACCAAAGCAATGCCTCCATACTTTTAAATTTGACATGACACACATAAAGATACAGAGAAACAAGATCAGAAGCTGAGAGTCTTAAAATCACTGCAGATATACAGTAGGCCTAACAAATCACAATCGGAACACTAAGAGCTTATTCCTCTCCTCCTCCCCGAGTATACAATAGGTATTTGGCCCAACTGAATTGAAATAATGGCAAACAAATCCTCCAGTTTCAAAACTACATCCCACTATGTTTCAATGTTCCCTTCAGCAAACTGAATTTGATTCTGTACACGTTTCACTTTTATCATATTCTAACGCAAAGAGTAATAATAATCCAGCTTTATCCAAACATTCTTCATTTTTGTTTTGAAAAACTACATGCATTACATTTCCAATGAAGATATTTTAATCTATTTTCCTGCATAATATGTTAGCTGAGTCATAGAGTACTTACGGCTTGATGCCCAGGACAGTAGCTGTAACTGGCATGCGACTGGTAGTGAACACTAGCTCTAGGGAAGGCGTAATTGTTCCAGGCAGACTGGTTGTTGCTCCACTGTGGGGTGAAGCCGGGGCTCATTGTGACCCTCGCCTTACTGTTCTGGTAAGTCCTCACTGCAGGGCCTGGCTGCAAAGGCAGACAAGATTAGAGTTGTCAATAACAATGAGGTGCAGACAGACAGAAACGTATAGTTAGATTTTTTTTAAAAACTCCATAGTCAAAGGTTTCATAACCAATGTCACAAGGTACCAATTTTTCAGTTAATTCAAAGAACAGTCTTAATAAGATAATAAGGGTGAAAAATCCAGTATATCATATAACAATGACCACAATATGGGCCATTCCACTCCTGAGATGTTTTGGTGAATAAGAGCTTCAAGGACCAACCCCACTTTGTTAAAATGACTTTGTTGCAACCGTTGGCAGCACTTTTGATCCTTCTGCTGTATTGGCCCCTCCAGCAGGTCAGGGAACACCAGTTCCATTAACATTTGAGTTAATGTTATTAACTTACCTAATTCCGGAGCGTTTTAGGTGCAGGTTGGCAAGAACCAAGGCTTAGTAGTATTTCAAAACTACCACCCACTGACTCAAGAGAACTACAAGTAAATAACTTTTGAACAAAAACAAAGTAAAAGGGTGAAGCCTTGTAGCTCTTATCGACAGCAACATCTCCAGAGTAATCATTATCACATCTCATACCAGTTTTGCCACCCACCCACAGTACATAATAGTACATTTTTTAATTATTCACAGTAGGAATCGACCTTCTACATTCTCAGCAATGCTTCTTTGCAGGTTTACAGCGATGGGAGACACCCCAAGCTCAAATGGAAATACAGCGAAACGAGCCTGCCACAATAGCATTGCACTGAATTGGATAAAAAGCCTATTATTTGCTTGTTCTCTTAAACTCGGCAGTCTGACAATGAGTGCAGACTGAGATCTGAACTTACAATGCTTCATCTGGATGTCTGATGGTCCAATCTCAGATCTGCTCTGATACCTTGTTACAGCCTCAGAATGTTTTTACATCAGCTCGCAACCTGGACACTGTGAGGTAACAGTACAAGCTTCTAACCCACATTGTGGTGTCAGCGACAGTAATTTCAGTAAACACATGAGGACCATGTCGTCACTGGATGGCTGACCCTCAGGCCAGAACCACATTTAAAAGGGAATTGGATAAGTTGTTGGAGAGAAACAATATAAAAGATACAGGGGAGGTGGGAGAGAGGGAGAAATAAGGATTTGAAAGTAACGTAGTTAACTCTGGTGGAGGAGCAAAGACTGGAGCAGGGATTCATCCCACTCAGCTCCTGTTAACTCTGCAAGCCAAAGCCCCAATGGTCAAGGTGATCCTAGCTGGACAAGCAGCGGAAGCTTGCCAGACTGTGCTCTCAAAGGCAAAATATGAGGGTTTTAGCTGGTTAATCTCCAGCAGTACCCAGATGCGCACTTTGGGACTCCCAAGCTTTGGCTCTTGCCAACATGCACCGAATATTCTCTAGAATTTGGTAAGAAACAACAACCTTCATCAATATAGTGCCATTCATGTAGGATAGTGTGTTGGAGCAGCCCTCTGGTTCTTCCCTCTGAGAGACAGCGCATTTCATTCTGGACACAATAATTTCCACGTGGAGGTAGCACACATATGTGGAACTCTCAATCTGATATTCATGTTCTTAATCATGGTGATGCATATTTGCATGTGTCAGACACTGATAGATAAAATAATGTTAACACCAACATAGGCTCAATAGGCCAACAACCTCCAGACTCAAATGTAATATGATTCTACAAGGTGTCAGAGTTCCTGTGTCATATTTAGTCTGTTGGTAGCAGAAGAGGTGGTTCGTCTCCAGTGGATTATAAATGTTTCACTATCTATGAGTAATGGTTTTAGAGAGCAAGACCTCTAGAACTCAAAGTCAGAAATATGTTCAAACTACTGACCTAAATACCAGACAATCCATGATTTCCACTAATACAACTACTGGAGGTTAGGTCAGGTCTCCGTTATTGAAAGCTTCTGTTGCACAAGTAACTGCAGGAATTGGATTGATCTGGAGTTCTGCTCTCTTCGGGCGTTCACAGCAGCTTCATTTATTTATAGATAACAGAACTATCTGCTGCCACTCAACATGTTCTACATTGATGAGGATTGTCACAAGTCACATATTGGCACAGGTCTCTGGAAATTTCTATAATAAGAACCTACTGCTGGTAGTCTGCTTCTTTAACATAAAAGTCTTTTTTTTCTACTTTTTCTGCCCACAAAATACACAGTCAATCCACTTTACAATATGTATGCTGTGAAGCACTTTGAGAATGCTCAACGACGTGATAAGGCCCTATATCAAATGCAAGGATTATTATTACTTATGTGTCCTCTGATACAAAGTCATTCATTATAATAGAAAATGTTGCAGTACCGAAGAAAGCCATTCAGTCCATCGTGTGTGCACCAGCTCTCTAAGAATACTATTCATTTAGTCGATTACCTTTTAAAAGGTAACAAATTCTGCTTCAACCATCACTTTTCATGACTTATTCCACATCCTATCAAAATTCTGTATCAGAAAAAATCTCTCAACCTCTCATTCGGATTTTGATAAAAAGATCTTAAATGTATGCCCTTTAGTTACCATTGTACCTCAAACAGTTTTATCTTATAATTTTGATAGGTACGTCAGTCTAATCACAAATAACAGCTCCACGGCATGCTCACAGCATTCAACAGCAATTCAACAGCACTAAGAAAGTATCTCTTCCAGTTAGCATGTCTTTTTTAAAACCCTGATTCATTTATCTTCCTCTCTTTGGTACTTGGGGCAACTCATGCTTCAAGTACCAAATTTCAGACATGTCTTTTCAAGGTTTAATCTAGGCGTTCCTCATAGATCATCACTTCAACACTGGGGATCAGCTTTGCTGTTCTCCTGAAAGACACTGGCAGCCTGTTTATGTTATAACAATCAGAGATGTACATACTATTCCAGGTAGCTCCAGGTGTGCTCTCTAACCTGTGCTCTGTACAGCTAAATATAAAAGATTTGGAGACATAGCCCAGCATCTTGTTTGCCTTACTTATTGCTGCCACACACTGTTTGGACAGCAAGAGACAGTTCAACTAGTGAAGAACGTGAGTTATATACAACTATATGGTTTCATATTAACAGCGAATATCTCTGTAAGGCCTGATATTAGCAGTGACTAACTTTAAATTGTCTGATATTAATAATGAGCCTTCTATATAGCTTGAGATTACACTAGTACAGTCTGATATTAACAGTGAACAGTTCTATATAGCCTGATATTAGCTACGAGCACCTTTGTATGGCCTGATATGACCATTTCATATTCTTTGATATTGTACTGAGGGTCTATAATTAGCCAAATGTTATATATCTATGAAGACCATTATATAACCTTAAAGGATCTCAAATTAATAAACAACTTAAGAGTCAGCAGTGTATTTACAAAATTGTGTTTCTAAGTCAGTTACCTTTGAATATGTTTGGGGGAAAGGGAGGTGAGAGATCAGCCCTTCTCTGTACAGAATGTTGTGATGGTCTTAATAGAATGTATACTAAAAATATAACTAAGTTGCATGTAACTGTCTGAAATCATGGTCTTTTAGAATGCTTAAAATAATCCTCGCAGTTGATATTTAGCACATTGTCTAGATGTCTATAAAGTGGAGCACATTGTCTAGATGTCTATAAAGTGGAGCACATTGTCTAGATGTCTATAAAGTGGAGCGACTGTGCATTTTATAGTTGAACTCTGAACAATTGAAGGTAGACTGCATGGTGTTTTTAGGTGTTGTTCAGCTCACTATTCCCTGATATTCTGCCTTGTGTTATTTTGCTGAAGTACAGCAGCAGGACAGGCCAATCCCATTTTAACATAGTAGTTTTTGGGAATATAAATTCAGACCCCGCATTATAATAGGGTATGTTAGAAATGCTGCTGGTCAGGTCATCCTGACATCACTTCCTGCATGCTTTGCATATAAACCTTATTCAAGAAGCCAGCCAGTCGGCAGCGAAAGTTTACCCCTGTACCGCACTTCGGTACACCATAGTCCGTCTGCATTATAGTGAACGGGCATCGTATGAATGAGCTCCAGGTTCTTTCTGGAACTTTGGGGGGATGGGGGGGACGAGTAAGGGAATGTAGGAAGAATTATGTTCACATAAAGGGCTATTAGAACATAAAACACTTTATTACAAGAGGCTATTGAAGGTACGACCATGAAATCATTCAAAGGCAAATTGAATTTGAAGGCCAACAATATAAAAAAAAGTACAGGAAATGAGCAGGTAATTGAGATTAGAGGAGATAGCACTAGAAGTGGAGTAAGCACCACACACATATTGATGGATAGAATGACATCCATCTGTGCTGGAACATCCATGATTCTACAGCACAAAAGAATGAGTTGGAAGCCAACACTATTGAAAGCAGATTGAGGTGTTAAACGTAAAAACATTCACAAATTAGAATGTAACATTTCCTGATGGTACCACGCTATGTGGCTAACTGACAAATACAAGGGTTTTGTAAAAGAGCATTGAAGAGAAGATCTCAATGTTATGAATTGGCACATGGAGTCAAATGTGAATCAATTGCATTGGAGCATGGCACAGCAATTATAAAGGGTACATCTGTTATTGCCTGCCAAATGGTGGAGTCCTGCAGCATGTTGGTTAGAGCACTCGCCTCACAAGTGAGAGGACCCGGGTTTGCTTCCTGAGCAGGGTGAAACCGTCAATTTTCCTTACTTCACACTCTTCTGTTTATCCAGCAGTAAGTGGGAACCTGGTTGTTAGGGGATTGGCAGATCACTCTCTGGGGGTACTAATCCCAGACAGACAGACAGACAGACAGACAGACAGACTGACTGAGCAGGGAGGAAATGGTCAGGGTGAGGGGAGGGAAGGGAGGGAGCGAGGAGGGGGTAGAGAGTCGAGAGGGGAGCTGAAGACTAATAAGAATAATAATTTGGTCACTCAATCCACGACTGTTTGTTCAACACTGCTGTGTGCAATTGGCTGCTGTGTTTTGCCCGCAAAATATACAGTCAATTCACTTTACAGTTTATTCTGCAAAGTCCTTTG